TCCTCTATCCTCGTGTGCACTGGCTCGTGAAGCCGACAAAGACAAACCCAGACAGAGAACGAATCCATTAAACAAGCACCAACATCGCTGAATCGATTCGTCGAACGAAGAGGGAATACGTAAGAAAAAGGGGAAGACTTATTGCAGAAAGTGAGACAAGGATAGACATATGTATAGAACGAACAAGAAACGAAGATGGGAGATATTCGGAGCGGGAGAGCGAGAAAAGGACAAACACAGAAGCATTAGAGAACGGATAAAGATAGAAGATATTCGGAGCGGGAGAGCGAGAGAAGGATAAACGTACGTGGAAGCGTCAAAGGACAGATAAAGATAGAAGATAGATGGAGCGGGAGAGCGCCGGGGCTGCAAAAAAATGTGCGTGACGCGAGTCAAGAACGACAGAGATAGGGGGAACAGAGTTGTTCCGTGGAACCAAAGAGGGACAGATATACAATGTGAAAGAAGAGGAAGAAAGATAGAGATAGCGATATACGATACTGAGAGGGAACGACGAAAGCGGAGAAAAAACTGTGCACGCAAGCCTGTCGGAGGAGGAGCGACGTATATACTGAACAAGGAGAGACGATTAGACGAGGATAGTCTTATAAGTAGCATGTTAGAGCGACAAAGAAAGGGAGCGACTAGCGTTTGAATGGAACAGAGAACATGAATTGAAGAAAAAAAGAGACTGTCTAGTATGAAATAAAGGGAGATGGAGCATATAAAGAGCGACTAGTGGAACGAAGAAAAGAGAGTTATATGCTACTGGATAGGGAAGAGTATCATTGAGAGAAAGATAGTCGATATGGGTGGCAGATTGTTTGACAGAGACTGGAACTTTGAGTGGAACGTATGGAACATGAGAATGAAGATATTATGAACGTGATGAGGACGAGGATGGAAGATAGTAGATACGACGGTAGTGTACAGGGCACTGGGCACTGTAGTGTCGAGTATGTATTGGCTGTGAGTTCGTGGGAGAGAAAAAGATGGGGATATTCTGTCGTTGTTTCGTATGAAGACTACAGTAGAAGAACGCAAGTTAAATCTGTTCTTTACAGAGAAACGATTTTAAAATTCAGGGTGCTGTCTATCAATCCCATGTTATCAAAGTTGATCTTTTATTTCTTGCTGGAGCTGTTAATTCGTTCCTTCGTACTTTTCAAAACTGACAAAATATTGCTTGCCTTAATGATTATACCTCTAGTTTTCACAAAACTTCGTCAATTTACCAATTGTTTTTAGAAGACTTACTCCTTTTGACCTTAACAGATTGTTTTCTTTCTTAGATAAATCATACTGAAGTACTTGTTTCGTACTCGTAAATATCGACCTAAATACTCAAAATAAGGATTATGAATCGAGCGCGACAAGGTTGGGCGGGTTCTACTTTTATCAAAGCTTAATTTTAATGCTGACTTTATCTCCAAATTACGAGATCGTAGATTGCTGGATATAAATCGCGTGTAATATCTCAATGTTTTACTTCACACAATATTAAAGTGCCTACGTACTACTTATGTAGGTACTTGTGGAAAATGTCATAAAGCAAAAGGTTAGAGAGTAGGGTCACGCGGAGGTTAATATATAGGTAACTACGCTACATGTACATAGATTAAATAAAATTGCTATTATAACCTTCACCTGGGGAGAGGGTTAATAAAGCTAAAAAAAAATCTCCGAATATTTAGCAACGCTTAATTTGTTAAAATAAGCTATAGAAATTACAATGTAAGCTCCTCGATTCTTTCTTCGAATTATTCTTCATTGTTTAATGTTGAAGTTTAAGCGAAGAGTTATTCGAAGAGTCGTGTAGTACTTGCGCATATTCCATACTATGAGTTAAACAGGTTTGGTATCTTTTTACAAATGATATTACCTAGTCCTTTCAAGGTAATTGCACGGAGACGTCAATTACAAAAATTAACTGGATAATTTTCCCACGATTGTATTTACCGATGGGGAGACGCGAGTGTGCAAATTGGCCCGGGATAATGGCGACAACGTGACGCAGGCATCCGGCCAAAGAAACCGGCCCAATGTTAACCAACTTCATGAAATGAAGTTAAACTATGTTAATAGTCGTTAGTTTAATGAACAATTTTCGTAATTCGCGTCTGTTTTACAAACTTGTAAATCCATTTTTCAAGTTTCTGTCTCGACTGAGATAACGAGGATCGTTAGACTAAAAAAATCGTGAACGATCCGGCTCCGATTTGGACGTAACGATCGATTTTATTTTATGTATAGTCGTTTTTTCCAATGAGAATGGCTGATAGAACAACATTTTTATGCATTTTTTTTAAATTCTTCGTTGACTAAAATTTTCTTTTAACATATTAGGGAGCATTCAATTTTTATTAACAACATTTTCTTTTTTTTTTTGCCTCTTGAGGGATCTAAGAAAAGGGACAAAAGGACTTTGGAGGCTGATTTTATCCTTTTAAACTTGAGTTTCCGCAGCTAAAAAAACATGTATCTGCTATATTTGGCTGTTCTTTAAACCTACAAAGTTTTATCCAAATCGGATCGTTCGCGAACGTTCCTTGTTAATTTATTAATGAAAATTAATATCAGGGAATATATCTTCATTCTGCTTAAGGATATAGATACATAATTTCATTCTATGAATTATTAGTGTGCCATTATGCTAGCATTGCGTGCGAAGTTTCAACTTTTCGCAAACGTTGCTTTGAATATTTTGCAATCCAATTTTAATTTTTAATTACACATTAAGTCTCTTAGTTATAATTTTATTTCTACTAATTGCTTTTAATTTTAATTGAAAATCTTATGATCTTTGCGAGCAACACGGTCGAATGATTAGGCAATGAAAAAATCAATTAAGGGAACTTTATTTATTGTCGCTGAAACTTAAGAAACGGATAGGTCTTTGCTAAAAAAGATTAAGAAAACTTTGATTTGGTTAGACAAGCATATTTCTAAGCTTTTGGAAATTTTTTACGCCTTTTGCGAGCAACACTACAATTACATAATTTGGTAAGAAAAGAATTAATTAAGGAAGTTCTTTGCCACTTTTTCAATACTCCATCGAATCTATAATTTATGAAACAATAGAGAAATTCGTTTAAACCTTCGTCAGTTTCAGCGCGCTCTTGGTAGTAAAAATATCGCATGTTTTCGCTGACGAAGCATGTTTCTGCGAGCCGACGCGCAATTTTTAACTATGTTTGCTCGTCTAGATTCGCGTCCTGATATTTTCCTCGAACTAACGAACTTTCGTTTGGGAAACTCGCGTCGCGATGCCGCGCTTTTCAATCCGCTTAACGTGGTTTCATTTATGCAAAAGTGACGGCGCGCACGTTGAAGATTGTTCGGCTCCCTCGGGGCTAAATCCGATCTGTTTACGCAATCGTGACTTCCAGACGACTACAAATTGCCACGTAAATGTATTACCGAACGATCTCGTTAATTTCTACAAGTGTTTCTGTCGTCTTTATCGTTTCGTATCAATTCTACGCTCACTGTAAGACACATACCATTAACAAACAAACAGTACTTCTTAACATTACGTGTACGAAGAAATATTACAATGTTGCGAAGACTAAGACATTTACAAAAATCTGATAAATTTCAATGAGCATTATATCATTATGATTGTTATAAATTACTATTTCGTTCGAGATCCTAAATTATAAATAAAACTGATATATTTAAGACTAGAATCTGCCTGCAATATGTGCTCAAATGTTCTATATATAAATCAATGTATATATTTATATTTATATTTCAAATGATATTAATTAAAATAAATAAATCTATAAAATTGTGATTTTCTAAATAATAATATGTAATGATATGTGACGAGTTTGATGATTCTAATGTCAGTATCATAATAATATTCGCCATAATATTAATGGATAAACAAAAATTAATTTCTTTAGCATTTGTAGGTATTTATCACTTTTCTCGATGACTATATTATCGTAACCAGTCGCAAGATTCGTGATTTTTTCAAAAATTTTTAGCACAATTTTGTATCTTCTATCGTAACTTTTTCTTTTGGTAAATATAAAAAGATACGATTATAATACGATAATACACATGATAATGGGAAGAAGAAAAAGCATTGGAGTACAATTGGCGGCTACAAACAAACTGGTCGGCTGAACGGTCGATTGATGAGAAATTTTAGTGAACCGTTTTGTATGAACGCAAACATTTGGTCGGCTAGTTTCGTCGACCATCGACTAGTCTACTTGATCAATTTTAGTCGACAGATTTAGTCGACCCGGCAGTAGCCGTCTTAACGGACACTTTGTTTGGATAACAGAACGTTCAAATAACAAAGTACCTATTCGGATAATAGAGTATTTTTGAAAAAAATAATAGACCTATTTTCTTCTTGTGCTGTTTGAAACGTAAAATGTAAAATACGAAAGGTAGAGAAGAAAATGTTCAACGTGGAATTGATGTCAAAAATAGAAAAGAAATATATTAAGCCTATTTGTTTTCTCGAACCGTTCAAAATGTAAAATATCGAATTAATGTTGAAGATATTCCTTAACCTCTGCATATTTTTGAACAAGTAATAAACCTATTGTCTTCTTTCGCATTGTTCGAAATGTAATACATAAAATACGAAACGTAAAAAAATACGAAATTTTCAACATTGTATTAATGTTAAAAATATTCCTTAACCTCTGTACCTGGTTAAAAGAGTTAAGGTCTAAGTAAACTTATAAAAGGAAAAATTCATCCCTTTATGCTTTACGGACTGAAACAGTGAACCCTCGCCCTAAAAAAGCTTATTTCAGTAAGCAAAACAACCCTTCGTCACCTCGCCCCACACTGAAGCCATATTGCTATAATTTGCCCTCATAAATGGCGAAACTCTTTGCGAATGTCATAATCGACAAGGGATGTTGCGTATTCGTTTATCAAGTATTCAGCCCCTTGCGAATTCCCTCGAATCGAATTACGAGCTTACAAATCTGCTCCCATTCACTGACTAACGGTGCTTTCTCTCTTAACAGAGATCTGATGTGACGTCGTTGAACAATCTGGTGGGCCGTGTAAAGGGGCAAAATGAGGGGTGGCAGTGGTGACGTCCCTCCCATGGTCACCGTCCCCGCCTCCGCGTCTCTTAACGTGAGTATACCGTACATTTTTTCCTATCAACTAAAAGCTTGGAATTAATATCCGTTTCACGGAACCTAAGAATTTGAAAGGATGTCAACTTAGAATTTCTTTGCCTTGCAACATTATTTCACAAAAAATCTATAGAAGTAAAGAAAATTCTGACTGCTGCCTGTAACATTAATTTCAAACTAACGAGATTTAATAAACAAATTTCTTGTAAATTTATAAAGATAGTACAATTTTACGCGGTACTTAATGTACATATACAAAAAGACAAAGAAACATTTACCTACTCGATCAATTCTAGAAACTCATGATGGATCCTGATAATTATGGACAATAGGAAAGACGTTGCTCGGTATAAGTTTAATCAGAGACTATAGTTGCATGGCTAATCACATAGTTACACGAATTACGATTGGCGCGTGGCGGTGCGGTTCTCATGTGTACAAGGCCGCCATACATAAAATAATCGATATACGTATGATTAATATTAGGTCGTCCGAAAAGTGTCTTTCTCTTATAGACCCGTCTTTTACAACGATGCATCTTTATACAAACATGCTGTCGAACGTTGTGATCTTTATTTTGATGGAACAAAATGGATCATACGTAATTCGATAAAATAATATAAAATAGAAAATGATGCGCATTCATTATTTCCTTATAAAACGAAAGAAACTTTTCAGGCGATCTAATATTATCGAAAATTTGGATCGTTACTTTTCAAATAACTGTCTTAAAAAATTACGGAAGCCAGAAAAATAAAGATACCACTCCACCTGGATCATCTTGATCCTCAGACACGCTTCTCCTATAAAAAACAAACTTCGAAAGGATCAAAGTTTCTCTTCGACAACTCCTTATAAGTACACCTCAGCCATCATTCACCTTGGTAATACACAATCTGCGTAATGTCTTGTCATCACGAGACGACCAAATCCCTGGAGGATTTTTCAAAGTGTCGCGAGCCCGTTTCCCGCGGGATGATTTCGTAAGCCAATTACCGCGGGCGAGTTTATCGTCACCGCGGAACCGGGCCGTCGTTGAGCAACGCGAAAACCGGTGCTGCAAGTATTCCGCTCGACAGTCGTGTACGTAGGCCTCCATCGATCCTCTCTGGATCGAACAGACGATCGATTCGATCGTGGATAGCCCGCGCGATAACGAGGGTTTCATCCGAACGGAAGGAACATGCTCCTTTTCCCCTTTTTGCTTTTCGATGACACGAACTGCGTCCCCTTTTTCCTTCTTTTTGGATTCTTAAGAGGATTGCAACATCCTCGCAGACATCGCGATGGAAAATGTTTTCGAGATTATTTTTCGTTGGGATTAACGATGAAGCGAGGATTTGAAAATAGTAGGATGGAATTTCAAATGTGCACTTTTTGTAATAATGAGGTTATTAACGTGCTATCAACGGAGTCGACGTTTTTAATCTTCGACGTTGAGGTCGAGAGACATTTTGACATACACCGGCGTACACAAGTATTAGGACGTCAACTGCTATTTAATACAAGTCGTACGCTTTTCACTGTTTTTATCTTCTAAGTATTTTATTGTAAATCAATAGTTTCATTTATACTATTCGCGTAAAATGCCAAATACAGTAAGATTTGTTAGAGTTGTTCAATAGATATAACGAGTAGGCGTTGTAACATTTATGGCTGCAGTGCAGGTATCGGCAAAAATTTGTCAGAAGTGGAATAAAATATCTTTCAGAGTACAATGAGTTAATGGACTGCGAATGTTTACGCAAATTCATATTTGTACCGACGTAAGGGAGAAGCTGGAACCTGAATAGAAAATCACTTTCAGTTGTTAAATATTGTGAAGCATACTATACTTTGCGTACGTTACACATTTGTGTATGTATAAATGTTACTTTTATCTTGTATACCACCATTCAAGAGTATTTAGCTACTTGTTTATTTTTGATAAGATATATTTCAATTAGAAAACTACTGTCAAATCAAACTGCGATAATTTGCTTCTAGTACAATACATAGTATCTGTATCATAATTCGATTAAATTCATTTTCGGAAGTCATTAAGCGACAATAAAACTGATGTTCGTAATTGTTCTACCTTACAGAACTACTTTGTCAGTTTAGTTCAAATTAAGAAGAATATTCTATATAGCTAGGAAGATTCCTGATGTTAATACAACTAGCGATATTTAAGTGGTAAATTTATATACCATTATATATAATAAACACTAAAACAAATTATTTCTGTGATTTTTGATACGTAGGCAATACATATCTATATCTTGTTGATTGCATAAAAAGGCAGCAAGTGTTGCTTTCAGTTATTAATTTACCATTCATTCGTACAATTTGGTAAAATTTGCATGTTGTTACTATAAATCGACCAAAATCACCGAATACTAACATGTAGTATATACTTCTGTATATATAGACGTTACTTTCATCTCATATATTTTTGTACATGTAGCTACTATTAAATTGTCCAAAAAATGTCTTTCTTTTACAGACACGTCTTTTACAACGACGCATCTTTATACAAACATGAAACCTAATCTGTCGAACGTTGTGATCTTTATTTTGAAAATATGCATCTGTTATTTCTTTATAAAACGAAAGAAACTTTTCAGACGACCTAATACTTTCATCTCATACATTTTTATACATGTAGATACTACTTTTATCTCATATATTTTGTTATATCGACGTAATTGTCTATAGGTCACTGAACGCTAGTCTATTTTGCGCAAAATGATTATTAGCACGTGCAATACTTTTGACATTATGTAATTTCAACATTCAACGCGAATGCTAACTTTATTTCATAATACACAGCATATATTCATAGATGATATTTCATAGTATAAAATGTATATTTTAATTCGACTAAGTATCTTACAGATAAGCAATAGAATCAAAGCAGGAAGTCGTTATCTACATTCTAACGATCGTTTAGCTCGAACCGAGCAAGTATCCGCTGAATTATGAACAAGAATTTTATAATTTTTGCCACGTAGAAAAAGAAAGGAAAGAAAAAGCGAAGTATGACAGAATAAACGAGCCATAACGATTTAAAAATGCGAACAGCTATCGGTTATTTACTTGCCGCAAACTTAGTAAAAATTCATTAACAGAAGCACGTGGCTTGGCATAGAAATACACGCACCAACACGCGAGTTCGTAATGCTTCGCCCTCCATTTCTTTTCGGCCAGCAGACCGCCCTGTGTCGAGCCGTGTCGGGACTTAGGGGTAGTCCCACCCTTAGCCACGGCTCACAACGTTCGTGCCCCATGAATTTATCATGTTGCTCCTGATAGAAGCCAGCTACCGATTAGGTAGGCTGCATAAAGCGAGAAATTAGCATTCTCGAGGGAGAACCGAGTAGGATCGTGACGCGCCAAGCGTTTAGGAACGGAAGCGCCACGATTGGATTAAATTATTGCAGCCTCCAGCGTGATTGATCACTACCGTTCTCCTTGGGACGATGAATTGATTAAAATCAATTTTAATCTTGTCTCTAAACTTGCTTTTATGCTGTTCGATAATCTTCTAAATGATTTCTTTCTGCTACGAACTTGCACGTTTCAAATGCTGCTTTATTCGTTACAGCCAGGCTAATTGGACATATTTTTGAACTATATAGACTAACTGTAGGATAAAAGTCAGGTGTCAAAAGAATCAAAGTGACAAAAAGGAGGAAGACAACCTTTGGTTCTCGCATTTTAAGAACTTTTCGCACTGTTATATATAGTAGAATTTCTGTGAGAAATTAGGAATTGGATATTTTCATGGTTTTCATCCTTCTAGTATTAATAGTAGTAGATAGGTATAGTAATTTTAACGCACAGCAAGTAAAATAATTTTTCAATGTTATACAGTTTCCTTTTCTTAAAATTAGATTATCATAGAGTTGTGATATAAATATTCCCTGTAAAGAACATGGAATTTTTTATTTGTTAGAATTCTCGCGCTAGTTTCTGCTATCTTGTAATTTATATTTAGCGATAACTCGTCGAAGCTAACGTTGAAGCTGGAATTAAAATCATAATTCCGATATCGTAAGCCATGGGTTAATAAACGAGTCCATTTAATCGAAACAATATTATTTATTGCACGTTCGTTCGACCAATTACCGCGTTAACCAACACCGTACCGATTTATTTCATTCTCATTCCATCTCGTTCCACTCACTGTGACGTTTTAATAAGTAAAATCTCGAAATACGGTTGTGGAAACAACAAGATGTATCGTCGAGAAATGACGATTCGTGGAGACACGTATCCGACAGGGTTTCGTTTCTCGACCACGCCACGGAAATTAAATTTTCTGCAAGTAGATCGACAGACGACGAATGAAAAACTTGTCGCAAAGTAAGCAAGTTCTCGGGAAATCGTCTCTGTGCGATCATATCTATTCGATTGAGATTTATCGACGACTAACGAACGTTCGTATAACCAATAACTAAGCAAACTGGTTTACTGATAGCAACTATGCGAACGTTTTTGCATCGGAATGTTTAAACACGCAAGTGCGAAGTTTGATATTAGTGTAAAACCAGTAGTTTCGCCAACCAGTAGTTGGAACGCGTAATAGTGGCAACTAAGAGCAGCGATAATATAGTATTCATACAGAATATAAAACAGCGTAAATTGTAGTATCGAGTAGAAATAATGATAACTCCTAAATATTACTATTACTACGAGTTAAATATATACTTGATAATATATAGAAATAATGCTGCATAAGAACCGAATAAAATTGTAGCACGTTGAAGTTACGTTGAATTGAAGCACGTTGAACGAGTGGTTGAAGTTAATAATAGCGTTCTAATGATTATAAAATAAACTATAAAGGTAAAAGATAGTAGCGTTGCATAGAAACTAAAATGTGAGAAATAAAAATATATAAGTTGATGAATGTAATAATAATAAAAAATTCTAATGTAAAATTTCATTTTATTATTCTTTTGCTTTAATAATTATTGAGAATAATAGTAATTTGTAATAGAATTGACCAATTTTGAGCATTGAACGTACTATTATATATCTATAGCTTAGTATTACTATCTACTTAATGATAGCATATACTAACAGTTATTGAAAATAATAAAATTATTACTAATTTTATTATTTTTATTGAAAATAATATTGAAAATAATAAAATTAGTAATAATTTTATTATTATTATATAGCTTGTCAGTAATATTTATCCAATAATAATATTCTTAATTGCATATTATTATACAATTGAATTATGTTATCTCGAATTCACAGTTGCAAATGATTATAAAATGGAACTAAACACGTGTTGTTTTATTGTTCACCACGATGTTCTGAACGTAGAATCGATACGTTTCTATAGCAGAGGACGAGAGTCATGTATGATTTATGGAAGTGTTCTGGTTACCAGGGAGAGGCGTCGAAGAAATCCGATGTAATCTCTCTTTCGCGCTGAACGAGCTTGAAAGTCGCGTATGAATCTTTCAGAGACGTTGTTCACTTTCTTTCCGAGTTTCTTCGGCGAACGAGCAAACTAAGCTCGAACATGTTTCAATATAAATGCTTCATTCGCCATTTTTCACCCTCTACTTATTTCTTTAACGTTTATTTACGAAATCCGCGTAATTTTTTCTTCCTTCTAAATCGTTTTCTATTCGTCGTTACAATGATAGTTTTATACATTTGAAGCGATTCCTCGATCCTTAGGTATCAAATTTTTCATCTTCAAAAGTCTGCTTTGTCCTTAAAGTTGTTTTAATCCATTTGAGCTTCCATATTACTCGTTTCGTTTCATTGAAAATTAAAATGTTATACCCACGGTTCAAGTCAAAACGTTTAAAACACTTTATAGAATATGCGGAGTATCTTATAAATAATTATTATATAAATTTCTACGAGATAGTTTATTAAACGAAAGTTTTATTCCTCCGTCGTGATAATTGATTATTGGGTAAATTTTTGTCTTGCTATTAATGCAACATTTTTTATTCGTTATAAAATATGATAAAGTGATGGTCCCAGCTGTGCTTTTCTCAGCACTACCTTCCTAATTATTCTCTCTAATGAATAATGAAATTCACTGACTCAATGTCCATTTTCCTAGGAAAAGAGGAATTTTAAAGTCTCAGCTGTAAAAGGGCCTGTATAATGTCTATACAGAAAGATTAATATTTAACGTTTATAACAGTTAATAAATACTAACGATAAAATAAGGTTCAAAAATTTGTCGCTTAAAAAATCTTATACGAATTGACGTACGAAATAAAACGTTCAAAATCTCCAAACAACAATTTACCAGAACTCGTTCATTTATAAATAACTAATCATCGATAGACCTCGCATTTTTCTGCATTTAGAGGAACTTTGGAAGTGCAAAATTGCACAAAATGCAGATAATATGAAAAAATACTTTGAAATATCTCTCAGCATAGTGTTTTCTATAGTACTTGGCAAGTAGAACAATTTTCCACCAAGGTGCTACCTTTTAAACTGCATTCTCAAAAATATGAACTTGCATAAAGATTCGTAGTCTCGTTAATCACTGGACTGGACTGAAAATGTGTTTCATTAATTAAAAAAATAGAATTGATGTACCTACTAGATATTTCAGGAAGCTCCTGGATTAATTTTTTATTATCTTTGGCATACCATGCGCGTCCTGCGTAAATTTGACCTTTCTAATTTCCCGTAAACGCATAAAAATCCACGTCCATCTGTTAATCCATTGATCGTGCAGAATTCCATTCACATGTCGACTTTGTTTCTTCACCTCATTCTCGCAGCTTCGGTTTCATCAGCAGTCATCATTAGCGATCGTAGCGAGTACCACTATCGCTTGGCGTTTCGCTAATTGGCATCTGAAGAGATCGCAAGGCCGCGTCGCGTACCGATGGAGATGTCGACCGATCGAAGGACAGTTATTTCAACGGCCAGACGCAGCAACGTGGTTGCGTGCGTGCTTCTACGAACTGGTTTTCTCGGTAGCTTTGATAATGCGACAGCCGTGCCTCGTTTTGCTGAGAATTATCGCGGCCCTCTCTGTACCACGAGCGTTTCTTCGCCATATACGCCGCCCCGGCACTGGCCGCGTCCTTCGGATTATAATAAAATATTAAGCGACCGGGATCACCGGTGCGGGGAGTCCGTCTTTCCATCGAGAAGCGACGTCCTCGTGAATTGCTCGTGAATTTACTATACCTATGGCGAGGGCTGGGGTGAGATCTGTGTAGGTGGTCGATATTGCCAGTCTGATAGCTGGTTGGCCGTGAGATTTGAATTAAAACATCGTTAACCGGACAGATAACGCGGAAACTAACGCCTGTTCGCCAGCGTCTTTTAGTTTTCGCGAAATGTTTCTCACGTGGGAAATTTTAAATGTGCAATTTCAAATGATGATCATTTTTCAGTAACCTGAGTGTTATTTTCAGTTTCAGCGTTACGGTCAATCACTGAGGTCTTTCTGTGTGATTTTTTTTTTTTTGCTTCAATATTCGTATTGTCTGAATCTCAACCGTATGTCGAAGAACTACCATCTTCCGAATCATTGGTATTATTGTTCGGACAATTGTATAAATTTCATCGAGGATTTCTTCTTCGTTTAAAAATATTGGATCGATAAAGTATCTACTGGTTCGATGAATTAAAGTTTTTGGTCGATTGTAATTCAATTTAGAGTAATTGTTTGAATAATTTCAAGATTAATGGACATTGCGTGAGTAACGTAGATTTGAGCTACTCTTGTGTCCAAAAGTAGAGGATTTTTGTTCATTTGAAACGCAAGATTCTATGAAATAGATTTGTTAAAAAATCCCCTGTAATGCGATATAATTTAACTTTCGCAACGTTATAATACACGCGGTAATTATCAACTTCGTTTTGTAATTAACACATTCATTTGTGGATATCATCGGTGTACTAACAACAAGTACCACACTCGATTATTTTTGCATTTTAATGCAATTTTATCTACTCTGTGAAGAAATGAATATTCATTTCATTATATCTAATTCTTATTCACTTTCAAAGCCTACTATAAATATGCAATGCCGTTAAAAAATTATGAGAAACGATTGACTTACTAATTTGCAATAGCGCAGAAAAACATCAGATTTTCACATTTAAATAACAAAACTGATAAATAGAATTTTATTTGTACAATGAATTGCTTTTACTGCCATCGAATAAAATTAATACTGCGATAAAACATCTATTATTAAAAAGCAAATATCTCTACATCATATCAACAATCTCTTTATTTATTTCGCAAAATTTTATGTCACACACATAGTATAGCATGAAGGGCAAAAGAAAGTGCAAAGGATAAAAAGTACGAAAAACAGCGCAATTATAGAAAAAGAGAGTCATAATCATATAGATATATTATATAGATTGTCATCTTCAACATGGTAACAAATGTTACAATTACTACAATCAGCTTATTGTTAATGCAGCGTAGTTTTCATACAAATTTGCAATATTCTATAAAAATCACATTTACTCGAACAGAGCTCGTATCTAACTTTCGGAGAGTACTATAATTTACATAACAAATTTCCTTTTCTACCACACGATTTTCACCATACAATAAAATTACTACTACGATGAATTGTTAATAATCTGTTATTAAAAATCAGATATCTCTGTATCATCGCCACAATATTTTTATTATCAATCAAACCGAAGAACCGCTCCAAAAAGAAGAACCATATCAATGGTGCCATAATTCATCGCGTGTTCACGTTTCCGGTCGATGTTTCACCCACAGATCATGATGGGCGACGACAGCCTGAGCGACGATGTGTTCGAGGTGGAAGACGATGTCTCCATGGCGGCTTCCAGCGGTTTAACGCCGAGGTCTATGGGCCAACCTTTGACCATGACCCCTTCGCCGACCGGATATCGAGACTACAAGCCCCCAGCGGAAGTATTAGACGATAACTATGGCTACTCGTCCAGAGACTACGATAGTATGAGGAGTAGCTTGAAAAGGACCAAAGAAGAAGATTCCGGAATGGCGCACAAGGTGAGTTCTGTATACTTTTTCAATAACTAGCCGAGATTATAGAATAATTCATGATTTTTAAAGTAATTTCTAAAAATTATCGATATATTTTTTCTGGTATATTTCTTGACATCCTATATGTTTACTTTCTGAGAGGATATGCACGAGGAAAATGGAGTTTAAATCCGGATCGAGTTGTATAGAAACGCGAACCTTCTTCGATATTATGTGGCGAATGGATTCGATGAAAATGGATTTATAGAATTCGTTTGAATGCGTTGGAAATTTGGAGACCTTATGATTAAAATGGATCGAAAGATGAGACATTTGAAAGGATTTCGTGATGGAGATTCCAAGTTGTTTTGAGGTGGTCTCTTTTAAAGGTTTCAAAGTCTCAGTAATACTACGTATTACGATAAAGTTTCCTAGAAATTGAATTATATTACGACGTAATTGGAACTCGATAAGGTTTCTAAAATCCTGATATATTCTCATAATCCGGCGAAATTTCAACCTACGAATAATTGCCTGAATGTATGTTTTATTTGACGAATGAAGTTTCAACCATAATTTTCTTCTTCTTCGCCACAGATACAAAATTTGCCAATAAAATAAATTTCAAAAAATTGTATGTAACACACATAATATACCATGAAGGGGAAAAGAAAGTGCAAAGGATAAACAGTACCAAAAACAGCACAATTTTAAAAAAAGAGAGTTATAATTAATAAGAACAATTAGATTATAAATAACAATATTATAACATGGTACCAAATGTTGCAATTACTACAATTAGATTACTCTGTCCGCCTGTGCATCTATAAGACTTTTCTATAATTAGTATTCAAATACTTTCCTGTACCACTATACATATACAGCACCTTCGTTTTCATGATATTACAACACCGGTGAGAATAAAGGATCAGCGACGACTTCACGAGAATCCATCCTCAAAATAACCGCATTATCTCATAAATCCTTAGGTCCTATTTCGCCTTTTCTGCATTCAATACCCACGAACATACTCTCACTAACATACAACTCTTCTAAAACACGTCTAACACCCTGATCCTCCGATATCCTTACCATTGCTGACTTTTACTTTAAATCTTCTTCCCTAAAACCTGTGTCATGTACATCCGTAGCCAGCTCACATCCTGCACACTCTGTTTCCTTCAAAATCTATTTGCCCGACGTCTCGCCATTACTCGCCGATGCAACATCCAACGTTAAGTACACGTTAGCTCTCGCGTGGATATTCCGAGTATTCCCGGCATGTATCCAGCCGAGGAAAAAAATATTCACCGCAAGAACGTCGTTTGATATTCATTACCGGCTCATTTGCATGATGGATGGGACACAGCGTTTCTCGGATGTAGCAGCAACAAGGTCAGTCATGCCTTCGTACCAAGGTCAAGCTGGCCTCCTCCCCGTGGCAAGCCTGTGGAATAATGATCGGGAATGCCCGAGGATCGCTGGTACGGCCCCCAACACGATCCACTACGTCCTTCCTTCGGCTTCTTCCTTTTCTTTTCGGCTCTGCTCTCGACAGGGAGACCCGTGCCTATCCCTCTTCCATCCTCGATTCGTCTCGTTCTTCTTCGTCGAACCACGACCCCGTTCACCGCCTCTTTCTTCTCAACGTTTTCTTTAACCATTCTTCTATCCCTTTTATGAATATCCTATCTATCTGCGTGTACGTGTTTTGCTTGTCTTGCCTTCTGCCTTTATGCTTGGCTTTTCACACCAATTTCATTTTTTCTTTCGGTTACATCGTTTTATTGTTTAGACGACTTTGTGTGTTTTATACCATTTTTTTTTTTTTTTTTTTTTTTTTTGTGTTTTTTTGTTTTTTTTTTTTTTTTTTTTTTTTTTTTTTTTTTTTTTTTTTTTTTTTTTTTTTTTTTTTTTTTTTTTTTTTTTTTTTTTTTTTTTTTTTTTTTTTTTTTTTTTTTTTTTT